TAGAGACAAAAAGAGGAACGAGGGAAAGCAAACAAGATGAAAAATAAAAACGAAAAAAAGAGGGGGTGGGGAGAGGAGAAAACGAGAAGAGAAGTAAAAGAGAGTATGAAGCCAGGATCGCGACGAGCAAGCTAGATCTAGCTCTTCCTCAGCGAGACCGCCTACGGAGAAAGCCAGGCCTTCCTTCTCCATCGCCTGCCAATACCATCAGGCATTACCGCATTCCCCCCAGTAAACACGACACGTGCCCCCACCATAAACATGTTGACAAGACCAGCTCTCTCCACACCGTGCGCCATGCCCGCCTCCAAGACAGGCTAGATAATAGGATTAGCAGACGACTTTGCCAATTACGTGTAATGCTAAATGCATTCTTCTCCCTCCGCGTGAAGGAATAAACAAAAGATACCCCGAGGTCTGACCGGCGGGCGGGGACGACATTGTACAACCCATAGAATTATCAACACGACAAAAAGAGATGCGATTATCTCTCCCATAAGCCACAGCGGTCAGTCACACTGTTGTAGTTAGAGTTAACCAAATTGCGCAAAGAAAAAAAAGAATAATCTTTACACACTTTAAAAAAATAGTTTTGGACACACCAGGCCACCCATCCGTAGCCAAATTGCATCGCCTGGAAACCTCATTTATCAACGTGGTCAGCGCTCTTCAACCCGAAAAAGTACAGAATTACCATTTCTTCAAACAACACGAATAATGACATTCATACGGTTAGTTCGTCTCAACGCGACAACCATTCTAGCTGGCTGCCAACCAAGAAAAGTAGAGTAGGCTATCTGTAATTCCCAGAGCAAATGGGTTTTTTTTAAATTTCACGTTAATTATTGTAATTCAGACTTGCGATAGGAAACCAATCTCAAAACCGTAAACGCAATACGGTGGGCAGCTAGATTCTTACCTTTGACTAGTCAATAATCGTGCCGCACTTGCCGACATTGTACTTTCTGAACGTTGCCCGCCTCTGTGGAAGGTACCTGCGGTGTAACGCGATGATGAGGTGGGCAGCCAGCCACCCCGAGAGGCGCTAATTTCTGCAGCAATTACGCTATTACCCTGGCCCCAAGTGCACGTACACACAGGCGCTGGCGCCAAGGCAGGCTACGCTCTACTATAAGCACACTGGCAGGGCGAGCGGTGTTACTACGGCTTAATATGAATGTCAGCTCACCTTTCAGGTCAGAGACGAAGTTCGACAAATCTTGTAGTGGGCGAATGGCATGCTTTACATTGTAGTGGCGCAAGACACACACACACACACACACACACACACACACACACACTTACGTCTCTATGTGGCTCCAACAGTCGGAACATGTACTCCCACGAGAAATTGGACGTTGGGCCCGTGGTCTCTGTAGGGGCTGTGGAGAAGAACAAGAGGTCTTGAGCATGGTGGGTTTTTTTGTTGTTTCTTTTTATTTGATTATTTGTTTGTTTTTTGTTTGGATTTTCTTTTGTTTGTTTGATGGGGAGGGGTTTGTTTGTTTTGTTTGTTTTTTTGTGTTGTTGTTTGCTTTGGTTTTAGGGATAGGGGGGTGTTTGTTTTGGATGTTTTTTAATGTATTGTTGGTGTCTAAAACGCCCTATCGACCCAATTTGAACACTTCTGGAGTCGGGCTTCGGCCCTGCCTTTCACTGTAAGCGCCGGCTGAGAGGAATAGAAATTCCCAGTAGAACTACAAGGATACTCGATAAAATGTTCCCCACAATGGAACAGAACTTTTCAGCGTGCGACAGCTAAGTGTCTCACTGCTACACCACAGAAGTCTAGGCATGCTTGTCTAAAGAATACATTTGGCAACACAAGAAAATAAACTATTCAATGTTCATACATAAAATAGAATTAGAATGCTCATCATTTTATTCTTAATGCCTATGCCGTTACAACAGTTCAAAATACCAACACCTCCCGCCCCCTTCCCTTCCCTCCCCCAACGCGCCTTTTTTCTGTTCACTCTTCACTATTCCGTTATATTGCTTAGTGTAGTCACTCAGCAGATTGAGATAGATAGGTCAATGGTTGAAAGAATGCATTTGATTGCACAAGAAAAATAGACTCTGTTCAATATAAATCCTTTGATTTTGTTCATTATCCCCATTCTCATTACAACACTCGCCACTGCTGTCCTATTGACCCACACCCACCCTCACTAATACAGACCAAGAATGAATAGACAGAAAGACAAACAGACAGACAAATAAGAACAGATAGAAAGAGAGAGCATACGAATGTATGACGTAAAAGAGCAACCTATACATGAACACCGAAATTTAAATAACAGAATAGAATAGATCTACAATACAATACAATACAATACAATACAATACAATACAATACAATACAATACAATACAATACAATACAATACAATACAATGCAATGTAATGCAATGCAATGCAATGCAATGCAGTACAATACAATACAACACAACACAACACAACACAACACAACACAACACAACACAACACAATACAACACAATACAATACAATAAATACCTAGGCTTAAATAAATAATATAACATAAAAGAATCCTTCATACCTAGATCAAATGAAACGACGATAGTTACTCACCTCCTCCTCTGGACTCTCTCTCCCGCGGGCTGGCTCCGGCACCACGGTTGTCATACCAGGGGGAGTCCTGGAAGTCCGAGCGGCCTTTGTTCCGAGACTTCAGCAAGTGGCCGTCACCGCTGCTCTCGCTTGTGGCCGCCTCCGAATAGGCGTCTGGCGAGTACATTTGGGTGCGACTGGGTGCTCCCCATGAGCCCTTGGTGGCCACCTGGGTGGCAAAAACGCTGCGGAATGGAGCGTCCCT